CTACTTTGGTTTATATCCAAATACCTCCAAAACTTATAACATTTTCATCCATCTCGGCTGTACTTTGTGTTTAGCGCTAATTAAAAATGTTACACTACAGTCATACATTACAAATGCGTGTGTTCTGAATTTTCTGTTACACTGTTAGTCAACATCTGAGACCCCTGCCATCAACCCAGTGAAAAAAGCAGTTAATGCAGTTGTCAGTCTGTAGGGAATGAAGAGAGTAGAGGAGAAGCAGCCAGCCCTGCTTCCCTCCACAGCTCTCCTGTGTGGATACAGAAATAGACGCAATTCGTTCTTTGCCTTTATCAGGTGTGTGTGTGTGTGTGGGAGACAGTGATGGACATTCCCATGCTTTTTAAAACACCAGCAACACATCAAATCTCTCTTAGCTGAAACGCCATCAGTCACACACACTAAAAATCTGAGCACACAAGACATGTACATGTATGCATTAAGTCCCACAGCCTGAAACCACTCCATATTAAAAACACAAACCAGACAGAATTCCTACATTTCCAGTCCTCTTATCTCTTTCCATCATCGCTTTACTCCCTCTCTACATCCTCTATTTCTCTTTTTCAATTACCCTCTCCACCTGGTTTTCATTCCTGTGTTATAAATCAGGCTGCACACAAACAGCACTCTCCTCCCATAGCCCTCTACCATTTCTTTTCTGCAGCAGTCTAAGCTTTTTCAACTCATAATTTATGAATTCATTGGGGAGCTCTGTGACTCAGTAGGAAACAGTAATGCACTCTGCATCCATTGTAGAAATTAGTTTCGAGCATTCCTCAAGATAATCTATGACTTTTCAGAGGCCCGACCTCTTTTTCAGTTGTATCATTAGGTTGTTTGTGGACTGATAAGTTTGAAATCAGACAGAGCAAACAATGACACTTAAATTTAGTTTAACATCAAACTGGTCTTAGAAAGCTGGTTAATAAGTGAGTGATTAACAATTTAAGTCCAGCTATAAATGGATCAAAAGTGTCTTTGACAACCTGGGAATGAGACTCAACAACCACCTATCTTTCTCAGCTCTGATTGGT